GTAAATGTTGTATTATAATTAATAAATGTTAATTAACTATAATTAAATTAATTGTTCCATCATTTTAGAGTGTCCTGAGGCGCCTAGAGCATCTGAAGCATGACCTGGGGTCTTTGGTCAGGGCCCTTGTAATACTAAACAACTGTATTTTTAGATATTTCAACAACTATTAGCTATAATAAAATACTATAAAAAATCTACTAATAAAATAAATATTAATCTATTAAATAGGTGATTAAAACTAATAAGATAATCTATAAACTATGTAAAAATATTAAAAAAAAATATATAAAATATAATATAGAGCTAAAAATAAATATATACTAATATAGAAAAAAAAGTAAATTCTATTATAATAAAAATGTTTTATGAAAGATCATTCTAACCTATCTTTTCGAGTACCTCAAGTCTTGTCAGAAGCATGTGTTCAAAAATCCAATTCAACCATTATTAAAGATTATTTTAATAAATTAAACAAGATAATTTAAAACAATTCACTTACTCCAGATCATATCTAGAATATAGATGAAATCGGCTTCATTATAGCTCCTAGTGTTCAAAAAGTTATTGTTACCAAAGGCTTTCATCAAATTCATAAGATTGCTCATAGTAACTCACACAATTACATTTCTGTTGCACCAATGATTTTGGCTTCTGGTGATTATATTCCTTCATTAATTATATACAAAGGTGTTTGTGCGATTCCTGGTTTATTAAATGATGCTCCATTTAGTATAATTATAAGTTTTACCAATTCAGAATATATGTATAAAGAACTTTTCCAAATGTATATTGAATATTTTATAAGTTCTATTCCTTCTTATCATTCTGTTCTTTTAATGCTCAATGGTTACAACAGTTATATAAATTATATAAGCATTAATTTTTGTCATAAAAATGAAATTTTATTATATATACTTCCATCCTATATGACATATATTCTTCAACTATCTGAACTTTTTTTGCTAAACTTAAAACTGAATATAATAAAAATTGTGATCAGCTTCATCATGTTACTGGCAACTTGGCGACTAAGTATACATTCACTAAAATGCTTGGTCCTGCATTTATTAAAACTTATATCTCTGCAACAATAACTAATGCTTTCAAAGCTACAAGAATTAGCCTTTTAATCCTAATGCTATTAGCCCCATCATCTTGATTCCTCTTTATTTACTAAGTGAATTGATATCTTATTTTCATTCTCTTAACAAAATAATTATTCTTCTATACCATCTTATTCAATACCATCATCTTCCTTACTGTCTTTTTCAACACTATCTTCTTCTTTTTCAATGTCATCTTTAAGTTATTTTATAGCTACTAGTAATGCAAAGGTTGAATTATTAGAAGCAGAAATTTATACTCTAAGAAGAGAAAATATATTGCTTAAAAAAAAACTCGAAATGTTTAAAAATCTTGGTATCTGTGCATTAAAATTAGCCTTTAAGTATTCTACTTCTTGAGTTCCAACACAGGCAAATGAATTGGAGTCCAATTAGCCAAAAAAAAGAAAAAACTTTTTTTTCACCTGACTTCTTACTAATGAAGAATCTTTACAAATGCTAAGAGAAAAGAAAGAGTCAGCAAAGAACAAAGCAAAAAGTATAAAGCAAAAAAAAGAAGAGGCTGCCCAAAAAAGAGCTGACTAGGAAGCTAAAAAAAAAAGAAAAAAAGAAGAAAATGAGCAAAAAAAAGAGGAACAATTATATGAAAAAAAAAAAGATGATTATGCATAGTTATACTTATCTGTATTATTATTGTTATCATTATTCTGTATTATTATTGTTATTGTTATATAATTTTGTAATACTATGATTTCTGACATTAATTCGATCCTATTCAATATGTGTTATAATATCTCCCAAATGTAAAAAACATAGCATTTTATAAATAGATTTTGAAAGCTTACATTTCAATAATTTTTCTTTAAAGGCTTTTTTTTTTAATAAATAGTTAATTATCTGAGTAATCTATTTTTACAAATTTTAAGAAAAATAAATTTTTTCTGAAAAGTTTTATATGAACAATGCTTAGGTATGTCATAATACCTTCCTCTTTCTTAACAGTTATATAAAAATTATAACTTTAAGTAAAAAAAGATTATATTTATGCATAATGATAATGATAATCTTAATGTAACTATCAGATTTAGTATAGCATAAAGATTGGAATCAGATTTAATAATTTAGATTTATTCTGTGAATTTGAAATATTTTAGAAATTTATTCAATTAAATTTTAATAAATTCTAAAATATCACAAAATTCATATGATAAACCAAATTATTAAAACCTGTTCTAACCTCTAGTATAGCAGACTTTAATTTTGATTAAATATATTATTACATAGTCTTTATTTAAATTAAAGGCTCTAATTTTTTAATAAAAATATTTATGATTTAATTTTTTATTTTTTTATTTTTTGCTTTTGTTAAGGTTATTAGTTATCAGTAACTACTGCCTTTATTGTGAATTCAATTATGATTATATAACTTGTACAAGGTTACCTCTATACTACACTAGCAGATAGTGTACAAGCTTCTGTACACTTATTTTAAGTGCTGTTTAATCTAACTCTGACTTCTCTGTCTGTATGTCTGTTAAGCTGTTACATATTTTAGAGTATATCATTTGATTGTAGAGTTTTAAAAGGCCTCTCTGTTAACTAACTACTTATATTTGATCTTTATTAACAGAGTTTGCCTTTATAAAGTTACCCAAACCTCAGTATCAACTTTATAGCATATCTTTAGTACTTAGCTATATCTTGCTTTAGATCTTAGACTTCTAATTCAGAAGAACTATATTATGTCTCTAGTACTTTAAGATTTTGTTTCCTCAAGATTTTTTTTCTCTAATTTGAAACTTCTAACAATCTGGTTGGTGGTATTTCTTATTCAAAATTCTTACTTGCTTAATGCCTTTTATATTAGTATTTATTTTCTAGATCTAGTCTTTACAATAATATTGTCAAAGATCCATGCTACCTTTCTACTTGGATCTTTTTAAGTGGGTTTCGACTTCTCAGTTCTATAGATTTATATGACTATAAGGACTTATTTTGTATTTGCATCATCTAATGCCAGTTTGCATTTTTTTATATAATTCTAATATTAGCAGATGCTTTATAACCTTTAGTCATGCTGATGCGACTATAGCTACAGGTATCTTATTTCAACTGATTGACAGAATGCTATCATCATAATACTACCTATATATTATATAAAAGATTATTCAAATTTTCATTGTCAATAAGTTTTGAACTTACTATCTACTACTTGGAGAATTAACAACTTATTTACTTTACTAAATTATTACATTTCTTGATTTAATTTTTTAAAAAATTGAAATATTTAAATTTAATTTTTTTTTAATAATTTTTAGAAATAAAAATTATATAATTGTAGTATTTATATTTAATTTTTAAGAAAAAAATTTTAAATTGTAGTTATCTCTTTATATAACTATATAATTATGCAGTTAAGTATACTCTAATGTAATGATAGTATAAAGTTATGACTAAATTAAGATATTTTTATATAATTATATTATATAAAATTTAAAAATATATGTAATTATATAAAGATAAAATATAATAAAAAATTTTTTTTTTGCTTTCACTAAGGCTGTGATTATTAGCAGTTATTGTCTTTATTGTATTTTTAATTATAATTATATAACTTGTACAAGGTGAGTGTACAACTAGCTATATATATAACATTTGATTTTCTATTTCAAATAATTCATTTGCATAGCAGATTCTATACTAGTTGCCATATTTGCAATCTACTAGAAGATTACCTATTTAAACATTTTGATCCTTATATTTATATTAACAAATAATGTACAAGTTCTCATATATCTAAATATTATCTAATTTAACTTTAATCTTTCTTTTTATATATTTATTAAACTATTACATATTTCAAAATATATTATCTAACTATAAAACTTCAGAAGACCCTTCTGCTAACTAACTACTTATATTTAATCTTTGTTAACAAGGCTTACTCACATTTAATTTTTGTTAACAAGACTTACTCTTGTAGAGTTCATCTAGATCCTAGCATCAATTTTATAATATATCTCTAGTATTTATAGTATATTTTTGCTTTCAACCTTAAACTCCTAATTCAGATAGCTTGGAAGAACTATAACATATCTCTGATACTCTAAAGTCTGCTCTTTAAGATTTTTTTTCTCTGGTTCAAGACTTTCAGTAGTCTGGTTGATAGTACTTATTCAAAATTCTTACTTGTCTAATTTTTTCTATATTGGTATTCATTTTCTAGATCTGCTTTTACAATTGTATTGTTAAAAATCTGTGCTATCTCTTTACTCAGGTTTTTTCAAGTAGGCTCTGGCTTTCTAGTTCTACAGATTTATATGATTACAAAAACTTATTTTAGATTTGCACTACTTAATGCCAGTTTGCATTCCTTTATATAACTTCAATATTGCACAGATGCTACATAATCTGCCAATTATGCTAATATAACTATAGTTACAAATTTCTTATTCCAACTAATTAACAGAATGCTGTTATTGTAATACTGTCTATATATTATATAGCTAATTATCTAAAATTTTATTGTTAGTAGGTTTTGAACTCACTATCTATTACTTAAAAGATTGACAACTTTCTACTTTACTAAGTTATTATATTTTTTATAAATTTTTTTTTTTTTCCTTAAGCAATTATGCTAGTACTTTATTAAGATTTTGAAATTATAATTGTAATTATATAAATGTTCTTAACAACTAAGTCTAGCATCACCTGGCCACCTTAATGTACCTAAGTGCAACTTGCTGCATTACTTCAAACAGAAGTAAGCTACTTGTCTAACTATTTAAAGTCCATTCCTTAGATTGTAGGCCAACACAGACAAATTTGCCTGTGTTTTTGCATTTTTTTAGCTCTGATTTACTTTTTTAAATTGTTAAAATATATAAATAAAATTTG